AACATTAATTAATGATATAGCATATAAAGAATTCTGCTTAATTCGTGATAAGTGAACAATACGAAACCTTCTCTCCATCAAACAGAAACAATGGCGGATTGCCTGGTATTATCAGAACATCTTGCATGGAGGCGGTTTTTCTAAATTGGTGTCGTGATCCGACCAGATTCTTTTCTAAATAAAAATACCAAGTTTAGCATAATAAGAAAATGCCTTCTACTCGTATGATGTCATGATCACTACTACATTTATCCAATAAAAGATTTGGGAATGTGATATTCGATTTAATATTTATAGTCTTTTTTGGGCGTACTAAGCTTCCGCCATAGAACCTTGGGGTACTGAAATGAGATCGTAAAATTAGTACTCATAACCTCAAAGTACCTTTCCTAAGAACATTTAGATTAAAGTTAAAGTATTATAAATAAAGTCAAGTTTGTTTTGTTTTGTTTAGTTGGATTAAACTTTCGGTTGGCCATTGACAGTATCCACCAAAAAACTTTGTCTCCAAAATTTTGCATTTTTCAATATTCAACAATTCTGTTAACAAATCTTAGATTGGGACTCAATGCTCTTTGGCAACGCTGATGACTATAATATACCAAAAGTATGGACAGAACCAAATATATTGGAAGCTAAGTGTTCTTCAAATACAAACGTTTTAGAAAATCAAATGGCGCCTCTAGTGGTGACCTTGGATTTGTCGTTGACATTCAGTTCGAAGGTCATTTCATTCATTCAGGGGCAAGTTGATTTTTTCAAGCGAAATCCCCAATTTTTGTTGCAAAAAGAGGAATCCAAAATAATTTCTTTTTCAACGGTATACTGCAGATACCATACGGCTAAAATTACTTCGAGAGGTTATTTCCAGGTCAATTGTTGCTCTTTCATAGAAAGTTATGAAGGAGCGGATAGTTGGAAAAAAGAATATTAAATGTCGTGCTTTTAATTCTAACAGTCCTTGGAGTATACAGTCGCAAGATATCTTTGGTTTTTAGAATGAATACTTCAATCGTTTGTGCGTGCCCTGTTTTAAAATGCTATTGCTCCTTTGCCTTGGTACTAAAGGTTGTCGTGGGTTCTATCCTGATAGTAATATCACTAATAAGAAGGATGAAATAGCTATAGGCTATGATTTAAGAGTTTCCATATTACAGCATTGAGATAAAGTGGGCAATGACGACCCTTAGTACTCGTTAATCACTTTGAAGTTTTGGAATATCCAAAATTCCCCTTCAAATACCGGACATTAACCTGTCTCTCCTTCACTGGCCGGATATTACCCTGTCCTGCCTTTACTGCAATATCTTGAAGAACCAGTTCAAGATCTCTTTTTTCACTTGCAAAGATTATCGGTCGCTTCAGTCTAATCCACGAAAATAGGTCATTTGACCTTGAGAGAGCCTCTAGGTGTGATTTTACCTTCGTTAGTTAAGCCTTTGAACATGAAGTGCTTCTCCATTTTCAGCGCTGGGATCAAAATTGAAGGTTTTCATGTGAAAAAATCAATTTGACCTTTATAGGTTTCGCATTAAAGATTCTTCTTTAATATTCTCCTTTTTCCAACTATCCGCTGCTTCACAATATTCCATAAATAGCAACAGTTGACCTTGAAATAACCTCTAAATGTAACTTTTGCCCCTACGATATTCATACCGTTGAGAAGGAAATTGTTTTGACTTTCTATATCTGCAATGCAAAATGTGGGTTCCCGTTGAAAAAATCAACTTGCCCTTGAAATTACTTCAAAATGAATGTCCACGTCAAATCCAAGGTCGCCACTAGATGCGCCAACCTTGGTATTTGAAGCTTTTTATAGCACCCTAAGTTTGGGATGTGTCCATGCTTCTGGGACTCCCTGTACATCACTTATCGATAAAAAGATATGATAACGACAGTGATGTTTTGGCCCTGCCTTAAAGATCCACCGAGTGGCAACTCGGCGTTCGGTGGACTGAGACCATCTACCATCTACGGACAACCACAACATGCATAGCCAAGAGAAAAATTCTCTTGGGGCGGGATTCGAACCTGTGCAGCTCACGACGACTGAGTAGTAGACCCATAGCGTCTACGCCACCGCTCTGCCTACTATTACTACTTACTACTAGTATGGTTTTTTGGCAGAAAGAGGAAGGACGCACTTTAACAGCAAGCAAAACAACAAGAGTAGTAGTAGAATCGCTCGAACCTCTGATAGAGGCACGCATTTTTGCTAACGCTGTTTTGTTAAACCGCCATTCTATAGTCGCTAGTTACTGTGCAAGTGAAAATTACTGTTAAGAAGTCCCAGAAGAAACCCGAGGCCCCTCCCGACGTCCGCACCAAGGGATCAAGGTAAGCACCATTTTAATGCCTCCTGGTTCACTCCCCTTCTTTTTCTGTTTCTTTTGCTTGACCACTCAATGCCCTTAATTTTGAGCATCATCACAACCACCACAATAATACCTATAACAATTCAACTCACTCGTTTCTTATCATCATTTATCTTTTTTTTGGAATTATCTCAACGCTATCAAGAAGCATTACTCAGCTTGTAGTATCTACCCGCGGTTTTTTGAGCTTCTCTTCTCTTTCGTGACTTTAAAGTCGGTAGATAGAAATATTTAGGAATTATGATTTGCACAAGTTTTTATGCTATTTTCTCTGTCTGAATAATCTCGCCTCTAGATGCAAGTATTATTAATTACAGTAATTAAGTGCTTATTGCTATTACCATTATTCATGCCTTGGTATTTCACGTCTGTAATCGTCTATCAAGTGAATTGTATTGAGGAAGTATTTTTTCTGTATACTGATACGGGATTTGATCTCTGACTCGTTAATCTCGTAAATACATAAATTGATAAAATATCTAGCTTATTCGGTTGTAATTCTATAAATATTATTGATATTACAGCTTATTACCTCACTTATATCGGTGTATCTGAACAATTCAAAAAATGGTTGACTTCTGCTCTTGATTTGTGTGATACGTGTATGAACTTATGAAATAGTTACTTTTCTATCCGTTAGCAGTACATACAAGTTCTTATTAATCGAAACAACAGAAAGCATCATTTGGCTTTACTAGAAAAAAGAGCGCTGAAGCGACACCTTCCCCTAAAGCGGAGCCCCGGTCTCTTTGGATCGGCATTTTCTGAAACTCCACTATTGCTAAGTGTAAATAGTAGCTTAGTTATCTACCACGCCGTAGCAAAGCACACCCGCAGCTCGCGTTTCATGTTGCTGGTCAATTCTGATTATTCCTGATACCAAAGCAGCTGTGTAGGCAGAAGCCAAAATACCAGGGCATCTCGGATTCTTAAACTGGTTAGTAGAACAGGGACGAACCTCCTTAAATAGATTGTTCCACAGTCTCGGTACCCGAGTGACAAAGGAGCGGTCGTATCGACAAGTTCTGGATGTACAAAAATCGACACTGTTAGGAAAGGAGGGCGAAGTCAGGCGGGTCTGTCTGCCAGACACATCGCGTGGCGGCATCATTGAGGAGAGTTCTGAGGAGCAAAGCCCGTCGACATAGTGGTAGAAGAAAGCCGACGGGCCGTCGATCCGAAAGGGTCCCGAGGCTGTCCGTTAAACAAGAGTCATCGATCAGTCCCTATTCTCTCAAAATCCATTTTTTTGTTTCTAAAATGATAATGGAAAGACGAATAAAAGGAAATGGAGTTCTTCTAGAACAACTAAAGCAATTGATGCCTTGTGGAATAAGAAGATGAGGAGCAAAAAAGACATGTATTTTTAGTATTTAAAAATTATTATCTTTACAAGTATATTTTGTATGCTTGATCGAGGATACAAACTTAATTGATGATTGACAATTTTTACTGGGTGTTCTGTTTTGACACCTGTTTTTAAGATCAGGAATATATAATAACGTAGTCCGTTAATGTTTGGTTTGTTAGATGGAAGCATCAAAACGATCCACAGGTCCACAAAAAATAAGAAGCGGTATGTGGTGGGTGTCTCACTATATCGTTTCCATGCCATATTTTTTCCCTCTGAACACGAATCTGAAGTTGAAATTGGGGGAAAATGGACGAATATGAAACTAATTTAGCCAGAAAGTTTTATTAACAGACTTCTGAAGCGATGCACAACCACCAAAATTGACAAAATGTGCTGATGCCTGAATTAATTTGGTATTCGTACGCCGACCCACATTTTTGGCAACAGATTCTTGTTCACCGTATAGTGGGAAGAAGCATAAAAACACAAGTTTTTTGTAGGCCTATGTAATAATTCTCGATTACAATGTATAAATATGTAAAGTAAATCATGCTTAACATCAACGAAGTAATCGCTGTACTCACATTTAGATATTTTTTAAATCACAAACTAGAGTTCCGTTTTTGACTATTCTCAAAAAAAGACTGCAACTCTATATAAAGTCGTACATGGGATACTTACCCTGGGCTAAGAAAAATGCGCATTCAAATCATGGTGAATCGAAAATTATGAAAGTATAACATTGACTAACGTATTCTACCTAGTGATTGCAATCCCGCAAAACGAGACCCCGCATTCCCGCGGGATCCCGCTGCTTTTATTAACCTGCTGGATCCCGCAACTTCAAAGCGCGGATCCCGTAGATAGCAACGCCGCTTATAACTGCGGACACAATAGTTCGATTTATTTTAGATAAATTGCAACAGCAAAACACGGTGTTGAGTAACCATTTGTCACAAACTCTACATGAACGTATTCAAGAACGCCGCACTGATTTAACAGAAGTTTTCATTTGCAAATTCCGAAAAAGTACGACGAATAAGCGAAATATACAGGTCGTACTTATACATTCTTCATGCTAAGAAAAGTTGCAATACGCCAAGAAATAAAGAAAATAATAGCAAGAGTCGTAGTTCAAGACGATGAAACATATGCGGATGACGTCTTCGAAAATACACCTATAGCTGAAACATCTCCTACTGATACGCATCCTACTCTAACGCTAAAAGAATGATGAGAATAACAGCTTCAACAAGAAAAAAATATTTCAGAAAAATCCAGACAAGCAAAAGGACTTCGAGAAAATTTTGAAGAAAGAAATGGCGTACTTTGAGTCCGATGGTACCAGAGGAGAATACGTGACGCTTGCCTATGAATATATACTGACGGTTCAGCCTACTAGCTTAGAAGCCGAGAGTGCTTTTTCAGCATCAGGATATATTTGCAGTTCACTCAGAAGCAGGCTCGGAGATGGTAAAAAAATGTAATTTGCTTCTTAAGAGTGTATTTTCAAAAGTTATCACCATAGGTTTATATCATAGTAATAGCAGCCAAGAGACAATTGTGATTTGATTATTAGTAATTATGAATTAAAAATATAAAACTGTCGTTAGGAGTAAAGGTAAAATCAAACAAAACTATTTAACTATGCCAAACATTTAAAGATGAATCTAAGAAAACAGATTACTAATTACTTATACTTAATTAATGGAAAAGAAATAATTTCTGTTGCTGAATGTAACAAATGTTTAATGAAAGTTGATTTTTACAAAAAAATCTGTATTTTCAATTTGAGTTTATAACATACTCATGTTATCTTGTTACCATAGCGCCACGTACAAGAATCTATCACAGCTATATTGCTCCTCTTCGCACTGATAAGAAAGCTGCTTTGGAAAGGTTAGTACATGCTATGAGCAATTCTGATAGTTGATGATACGGTATCTCATTCTATCTCGGATAATTTTTTGTACGCGGGCATATAGTATTAAATTGGCTATATTCAGGCAGAATACGTGAACCAATCGCATGAAGCAGTCTTCGAAATGCACTACCGGTGTTTCCCACGGTTGCACCACCCTGTATGTGCTCGGTCTCGTCTGCACGATGTCGGACAATCTAACACTTGTTAACGTAACGTATGTACAGAGGCGTTTTCAAGTACGTGATCTGCATGCTGCGACGTCATTACCGACACTAGTCTGAAAGAATAAAGAAAAAAATACGCAAGGCGGAGCATAAAACGGCTTGATTTAAATTTTATTAAGGCTCTGTCGAGCGTTGTCACTGTTAAGACTAAGTGGTGTGGGAAAAATGTAGTATCACTTAACAGTGATAGCAATTAAAAAATCGCATATTTATTACCAGAAAAGAAAGCGTTGACAGAGAAGCAGAGAAATGGGGTATCATCTTTGGACATCTTCATCGGGCATGAGAGCTGATCTTGGTACCTAGTACAAAAACTAGACGTTTTCGCTTAACTCATTGTTGGCTCATCTACACATTAGAAGCTAATGTTGGCGCTAACATGGTATCACAGTATGAAGTCAGCAAGACCACTATGGATAATATTTGCCAGACAGCAGTACAGAATCGGACTGTCTTTTCAGCGCCGTTAGCTGCATTGGCTGTGTATTGTTCAGCATTACTCTGCTTAATTATTATGGACCAAACAGGTTCTGCGTGAGTGCGAGTAGACCACATCTAGTATGCAGCCAGAATCGTCACCCATCTAGCGGTCACAGTGGTGACTGAACTATCAAACGCGGACTAAGATCTTTACAATTCCAATCGATAGCTGCTACTGCAGTGGTCGATACTGGTAATAGACGGTGCGTTCCGCTGTCTCGTTTCGACATGAAACGTCATTATTTTTAAGATTAGTTAAGGCTAGTTTCTACGATAGGTCTACGTTCAGAGTAATGAAATTGAAGAATAAAATACTTTCAGTCGCATATCCATGAGATTGTCAGTAAAAGCATCTGCTACTTTAACTATCATTTGATTAAGCGACTATAAATCATTGTCGTTTGTGAACAGTAGGTCGTCTTGTGACAATCAATGAGAGTCGCGCTTTGCACGCTTACATAGCTAGTGCACTGTGGACAGCATGTCGATGCTCTGTTGCTTTTGGGATGAATGTAAAGTCACTTTGATTTGGCACAATTTTCTCCGTATTTTTACATTATTTCTTGCAGAAAAAACTAAGCGGTATTTGCTGACCTGACCCACTCTGATCACCTCACGTAATTAATTGAGGTCTGGAGGATGGCCTATGAACTGGTAACTCTTTTAACAGAAATACCTTCTATTCATTCATAGCGTGTACTTTCACTAACCATTGATTCGATGCAATTTGATGTAGGGCAAACATCGATAATCCCGATGTACAGGGTGACTCAGAAGTCGTGATCAAAAATGAAACATCATACACAGGACTGCTTTTTAAGCGGGGTTTGTAACATTTCTTACTCGAGGGCTTCATTGAAGTGTAAAAAGAAAAAACATTTTTTTAATATCTTCAAAACCGTCAACTGGAGTGAACTAAAATTTGGTATTTCAATTTACCTAAGTATTGTACATATTCAAAGGTATTTACTTGAAATTAATGTGCACCAGTGGCGGAGATACAGAGGATCAGTGGCATTATTTTTCCAAATAAAAATAGTACGCTTCTGTTTTTTTTTTTCGAAACACGCAATTTTTCCAAATTTAGCTTCAATTTGCTACAAGTAATTGCTCTTGTGATTTTGTCCTAGAGTGCATTGATTTTGTAAGAATAATAAACAAATTAGATAATCAGAGCTTTGTTTCAATAAATGTTCAAAAAGACCACCATTTTTGATTGTTGTGAATTGTGAATTTAACAATGATGAGTACGCCGATATTATTTTTATGTACAGGTTCTATGATGGAAAAGCTTCAGCGGGTACTCGGAAGTATCAACGTAGATCTTCTAATAGACGCCAACCTAACCCAAAGGTTTTTACGCGATCACTTTCAAGACTTCGGCAATATCGGATTGCCAAACTTCACGGAGTTAGAGGCCATGGTGTCCGGCATACTGTTCAAGAGGAATTTCCAAGTGATTAATTTTGACGTTGGGTAATCCTAGTACAAGATCAGACAATACTTGAGTAAATCCACTTACCAAGTTTTAGTTCATTTCAGATGACGGTTTTGAAGATATTAAAAAAATGCTTTTTATTTTTAAATTTCAACACCCCGTAACTTTTAAATGATACGGTCCTGTATATGATGTTTTATTTTTGGTCACAACTTTTCAATCACCCTGTATACTTGCAATAGCGTCGCAACAAAGTTATGTCTACAGTGTCTGATGACGTTACTTCCAATTTTTTCGACTCATTTATGGTCTTTTTTAAATTTTGTCGTCAATAAATTCCTTATATATGATTACAATAAATTACAAATTGTATGATTTATCACGTTATTTAACAAAAACAGCTATTTTTTCACTTTGCCAAATATTTCATTTTAATTACAATTCCTAGTAGATCAATTAAAAAAAAAGTAGTTTTCAAAGTATATTGCTTTCATCCTCTATATAACACAAGTCACTGCCCTTTTACCCTTTATAACCAGTTATGATGTTTATGTAGTTTTTTTTTATATAATAATTGTACTATTTTTTATTTGTTGATAAGTACTTATAAATTTATTCACACAATTATTTTTGCTGAATGTAATTATTAAATGTGATGACATAATTAATAAATAGAATTCTTAGTATAAGTTGAATTTCAATAGGATTAAATTATATTAAAATAAAATAAAATTCTGCATTACTACAGAACTAGGAAAGAAAGTAAAGATATTAAATCTGGTTTTGCAGAGCATGAAAGCAGTACGTCACATGTTACTGCTTTTTGTTTACATTTTGATTAAATCACATTTAGGAGACCCTCCATAAAGTAATGTAACTTAACAATATTCATTTACTATGTTCTGTCATAATAATACTATTTATTTAGTTCGAAAAAATCCAGAGTTCTGAAATCAATCTTTACTGTTTGTTACCTACGACACTATAGGTCCACTGGCATCTGTTTACCTATTTTCGTTGGCGTATGAAGTTTCCGTTCTTGGATGAAATTGGGGCAAACAATGCTAAACAATTATTTCATAATTCGTGGATCAATGCCAACGCACAGCACAGCACAAAAAATAAGGTAGGTATCAAATTCTGATTATGATTGAATATACATATTGACCATTCTACGGTTTTTTTTTTTCTATAAAAACATATTTCATCACAACTGGTGGAAGGATGGATTTATCATAATTTCAGTCAAAGAAACATTAAAAAACAAACAACAATAAACACATCAATGTTTTGAGTTTTTTAAAAGACCTTCCCATTTGTCTCTCTCCAAGATCCTAATACCTATACCGCACTGATGAGTCGCTAACGAGTACGAAACAACTCTGCCTGCCGTTGGTCATTGTTACAGAGACGGGAAGCATATATGCCATTTCACCCGTTTCTAGACGTATATGCATGAAAAACCATTGGACCATCGGACCATATAAAAAATAAGGTTGATGTCGGTTTCTCCAAAACGACGAGTCGGTCACAAAATTTGAAAACACCATCATGTTTCCTCAGTTTTTTACTAACTCACAAGATAACGACAGAAAAAGTAAAAATGATTTGGCCAAATTGAAGTTTTTCCCGAATATCTCGGCAAGCCATGAAATTTTTACAATTTTCTCGGCAGCATGAACGCAACTTTTTCCTAATTAAACCTTAGCTTACACACCCCGTATATTCCAACTAAGTCCACGTGGCATCACCCGGCCCCCATACACAGCCTGGCCGATGGGCGATAGGCTTGAGCCTGCATCATCACCGCGGGCCGCCACAGTCGCGCCGCCTGGTGGCGCGACTATTGATTTTCGCGGGCGGCCGACACCCCCGCCCCCCACCACTACTATCCTCGACCGCGACACAATCTCTGCCGGGACACCACCACGCCATACCATCCCACACCAAAAGCCATGATTCGAATGGTACTGTAAACGTAATATACTCGTAGTATTTCTAGTAAGAAACTCAGAGCCGAATAGAGAAACTAACCTATACAGGATGTTCCAAAATGTTTTGCCTCTCCAACGGAGGAAGTTAACCTCAATTTGGATAATGTGTATGTCCGGTTGCACCGCCTTGCTAAGCTCAACTTTAAGCTAAGCTAAACCTGAACTTCAACACTGTTTCTGTTGAACCAGATACACTTAAACAAGCAATCGAGCTAAGTCAAAGAATTTTTCTACTCAACGTGGATTTTCTAACCAAAAACGTCGAATTGCCATTTCGATGTTTTTATGATTTGACTTATTGACCACTGTCTGATAAATTAAAAACGTCGAATATAGAAGGTCCTTCTATTAAATTCTAAAAAGCTTTCGTGATGTTGATATTTTGTAGCTACTCGTCAGAACTGACAACCAAGTTTGGCAACT